GAAACACTCAGTTTATTTAAATCCAGGTTGAAGACTCACCTATTCTCAGCTGCATTTGAATAAAGCACCAAATCCACACTTTTAAGCTTAAATTTCAAAACTTACATTTAACTACTGATTTTATCTACTGTTGTGATTTTATGTGTTTTGATTTTATATACTGTTTTGTTTGTTTGTTTGTTAATTAGTTAGTTTGTTTGTTTGCTTGCTTTAATCAATTTTAAATCATGCTTTTTATTTGTTTTTGTTTCTAATGTCTCTGTAAAGCACTTTGAATCACCTTGTTGTTGAATTGTGCTATACAAATAAATTTGCCTTGCCTTAATCGACCTCTGCAAATTTTACTCTTGTTCATCTGGATCATTTCTGCTCTGTTTCACAACAAGAATTTCTCATGTTTGCTTTATTCGTCCGTGCAAACTAGAGAGGCGCCTCTTTAAGCTGGAAAGCCTGCATCACTCTGTATATTTATAAGAGTACAATATGGAGTACAAAGAAGTATAACAGCTCCTTTATTTAGGCAGATACAGCAAAAAGATACACACAGCATATTGAAAAACAGTATGTGGTTATTAAAATACTACCATCCCATTTAATTTAGTGTAAAGTGGAATATTGTTATTATTAATATGTTATGATAAGCCCACAGCAAAGTATATAATGGGTTTATATTCATTCATTGATTTCAGGTTGTCTCAGCCACTGCTTCAGGCTTCTCTGCACTGTCTGCAGGTTGCTCAGAAGCTTCTGATTGGTCAACAGGCAGTGTTTGGTTGATCAAATCTACTTTTGCCTCTTTAGTTTGATCTGAATCTAAAGCAGGAACTTCTGCAGGGTCCCCCTCATTTTGTGCCTCGCTTTTTTTGTCCTGCTCTCTGTCTTCCACATTTTTCACAGTCGATGCCTTTGAAACAGATTCTGTAAGGAAATATTTATTAGTAAGCATTTCAGCCCGTCATGGGAAAATTGCACCATTCTGTAATTTTGCCAGTGTTTAAACAACAAACGAAAACTCCTCACCCTTTCGCTTCTGCATTTTAGTTCCAGTAAGTGTGGTTTTCATCTTTTCTTTTGGTGTGTTTGAGCCAAACACTACATTTCCCTCTTCATCAGTCCAATATGAAGTCACCCCCAAGTCAGGTGTCCCCTCTGTGACCTCCACCTGAGTTCATCCACAGTGAAGGGAGACATTGCAGTGTGGTAAAGCTCTACAATCATGAACTAATCACCATACAGTCATTCAGAAAGTGAAATCAACTACTTACCCATGAAGCTCAGTGAGATCACACCTACCGCTGAAGGCTAAAACAGTATCATCTCATAGAGAAAATGATAAAAACTGTCATAATTAAGCTATTTAGGCTACTAAAGTTTTTGCAAAATGTTAAATTTCAGCTTCACCTCAGTTTAATTTACATTAACACAAAAGTTTTTGTATTATTGCAACTTTCTAAAAGAAGAAAGAAGAGATTGTAATGAGAGATTCGCTGATGTATTGCAAAGAATTGTGACTTTAATTTGATGCAAAAATATTATTTAATCTTTTCTCTTTAAAATGCTCTCAAGCTGAAACGTTCAATGAGTCCAACTCTGGTGCAAGTTGAACTGTGATCTCTTAGGATTTCTTAGTTATACAGTTACCCTTTGTTAAGTTTTTTATGGTTATGTGATATGATATGCACTCACTGGACGCTTCATTAGGTACGCTCAAATGTTCATCATCAAACTAAAGCTGTAGCTCACATGGGTTCACCAAAATTGACAGAACATTGAAAAAATGTTACCTCCATTTCTGCAGTAACATTTGGCTGGTAGGAACTGAAGTGGATTTAAATAACATTAAACCATGCATTAATCCTTGATTGTATAGACAGTTCAGGCTGCTGCTACTGTTTCTGTAATGATGTGGGGGATATTTTTTTGGCACACTTTGATTTAGCACTAATTAAATTAGGCCCACACAGCCGACCCGAGTATTGTTGCTGACCATTTCCATCCCTTTAGTTGTTCAAATAGGTTTCTTAAACTGGTTTTTTCATCATGACGATAACTTCACTGTAATCAAATGGCCTTCCCGGTCACCACATCTTAATCTAATAAGCGTCGTTGGGATCTGGTGGAACGGGAGATTCCTTCATAAATGTGCAGCTGACAAATCTGCAGCAGCTGTGTACCTAAAAAATTGACTGGTAAACATACTTAACCATTTGGCATACAGCTGGCGACTTAATAGTGCCTGTATATATATATGGTAGAAATAGATTTGATTTAAACTTGTATAACTAATAGTTTTGTCACTTCAGGTGAGTATAAACAAAATGTGAAGCAAGAAGGATCTCATTACCAACTTAATAATGAGCTAACTTAAAAACTAAAAGTTATGTATTTATACATGCAGCAACTGATGCATAAGAAAAATATCTGGCCCCTAGGCTCTGAAATACACCCTTATGTTTTGTTATTACATTTCAGACTGAAGAACATAATAGTAAAAATGGCTTTTATCTAATTAGAAATGTTCTGGATATTTGTGCTCTATGACAAAAAGACAATACTTTTTTCGTGTCCCTCTTTTGTGCTCATTGTAAAGAAAGTGTCACGTTATCCTGAGGATACGGCAAATGATTGTCCTACAACAAATATCAGGATTACAGTGAAGGGGGTGAGTTGTGTCCATGCTGGTGGTGGATCTTCAGGCTGTCCAACTTCTACAGAAATAGTGATCGGGAGTGAAAACGGAACAACTCGACTGAAACAAGAGAGTGAAACGTAAAAGGTGAAGAATTGAAATCAAAGTGACACGACTCAGAAAGGAAAGACAGAAGGTGGAGGAGGTGGGGAAATACATGCTTTTTTTATTAGTCTCATCAAAAAATGGGAAAAGGAAGAGAAACAATAACCTCTATTGTTGGTATTAACAGTGACCTCACAGTTTTCACTGCATCAACATCCAGGATAATTACTAATTATGGGCTGGGGAAAATGGTGTGTTATATAAATAATAGTGAGTAGACAGTGAGCTGACTTGTACCGTTTTCTGCAGAAGATAACATTTAGAGTGAATGTGAATAAAGTGGAACACACATAAGTTTAAAATCTCACTGAAACGCACATTTTTAACTGTTTTGCTACAAATTATATTTACTTCCAAAGCACACCATCGGAATAAACCCCAGCACATCTGTCTTAACTAGTTTATTTCTTGCAGGTTGAGAAAGATAGAATTGAAATTTGTGCCGTCTCTGTGAGATTTTTCCCACAATTTAATGACACGGTTTCAGTAAATCTGACAGCTGCACGCAGTCTGAAGTACTTGTCTTGTCAGGTTTGCTGGGAAATCCACATAATTTGTAGCAAATGTAAAAACATTTATGTTTTTAATAGACATTCCACACTAACCGTGACATTTTTTCATAGTGGCAGCCACAAATAAGCTTCAGATTTTCAGTGAGATTTGTAATTATTGGACCAAATGTTCACATACAGTATTAATCATAATCTTAAGTAACTCTTTTCTTTGTACTTTTTTTGGTGTTCAGTTTCATCACCTCGGGAGTTTATTTGACTGATTTCTACACAAACCATCAAACACCACCTCTTTTTTTAAAATCTATTTTTCTTTTTAACTTTTTCCAGTACGCATCATTTTTACATATTTACGACAAGATTTGGACCGCTTTTACTTTTTCTTGCCGCCCGCCTCTTCAGGGATGAACACACTTACGGTGAAGTCCCCGCTCTCTGTGCCGTACTTGTTCTTCACCAGGATGCTGTACTTGCCCGAGTCTGACGTGTTCACGCCGGTGATGGTGAAACTGGCGAACTTGCCCGACTCGAACTTCAGGATGCAGTGCTCATCAGACGTGATCTCTCTGTCGTTCTTCAGCCAGGTGACCTCTGGCACGGGGTTGCCCGAAATGTTGCAGGTGAGATTGAGAGCCTGAATGGAAAATAAGGCACAACTCAGTTACACTCAGGGCAGTCACTGTAAAGGTTAAGACTCTTAGTTGAAGACAGTGGGCCATGTCAAAGTTTGCTATATGATGTGCAAACCACATGAATTCAGCTAAAACTGTTTACCTTGCCCTCTTGTATGGTGACCACATCAGGGAGGCCTCCTGCTACTCGAGCACGATCTGAAAAGTAACAATATTAACTAATGAAAAATGATTTTCAAAAACAAAGCATGTTGCACACAGTGCACGCAAACTGTGTTTTTATCTAACATGAAAGACTTTATGTGGCTCAGAACAGTCTTCGGGTTAGTATTCATGTTCAGGGCTGTTGCTTGTTGTTTTTAACACATTCCAATTTTATTGCAATGGACTTAAATTTGCTTAGGCTGCTGCCCCCGCGACCCGGCCCCGGACAAAGCGGATGAGGATGGATGGATGGATGGACTTAAATTTGCAATAAATATGGTAAACTAGCTTTTTAAATTACAATCTCTGATTTTTAAAAAAAAAAAGAGTTTTTCTTAATGTTTTTAGAATAAACTATAGTACTAACTGGAGTTAATTTAAACTTCACAGAATAGAGCTCACTTTGACCCACTGAGATTTATAGTCATGATAAAAAGAAAATAGCTACACCCTCTCACTCTCAGGTTTTATGTATCAGGACATAATAAAAACAGTCTGGTTCTTAGCAGGTCTTAAAATACAACCTCAGATGAACACAGTATATTCTACAGTGAGACTGTCAGGGACCTGGATCTAAGCAATCCAGGGTCCCTGAGCATTTATGGACTTGTACATTATATGTGTTTTTGGTGTTGCTGTCCTTCATTCTCCCTGCTTGCAGGTATGTGTTTGTGTGTGTGTGTGTGTCTGGGGGCACCTGTTTACAGGTGCCTTCAGGCCTGGTAGGTGTGGCCTTGCCACACCTGAAGACAATCACACAGCTGATGAAGCCCCATCGGAGGAGCTACTTAATGGTTAATGGCCTGTATTTGTATAGCGCTTTACTAGTCCCTAAGGACCCCAAAGCGCTTTACACATTCAGTCATCCACCCATTCACACACACATTCACACACTGGTGATGGCAAGCTACATTGTAGCCACAGCCACCCTGGGGCGCACTGTAAGAGTGTGGTGGAGCTCTCGCCGACGCTGGATCATTGCGTGACGTCCAGTCAGTAAGGTTAGTCTGCCGCATTGCGTGTGTCTTACAGCTGCCTGCCTGTTATTTCCCCAGGAGAAGCGTGGAGACTAGAGGGCAGTGAGCACGGGGTGCTCAAACACTGAGAAGCGGAGACAGGAACACTGGCACTGGGAAGAGGACATGTCACGGGAGTCTGGAACGCACTGAGTATTTATTGTTGTGTTTTCCACTGTTTGCATTCAAAGCTCTGTGCCTGGGTCCTCCTTCCTCACATCCCCACAGTTGGCCAGCGGCAACCGTGACAGAGACAGGTTATTCACAAGCAGAAAACATTCAAGATTATCGCCAAATTCGTTGTAAGATCAGACCGTGCAATGCTCAGAGATATTCCAGAAAACTCAAGAGCTGCATCTCAGACTCTATAGGCTAAGACTATGGGTTGTTTTGAAGAATTGCCAAGAGGAACATGGCACCACAGCTGAGCATGTTCGATCTGAACAAATCACAAGACTTCCTTGGATAGACAAGACCGAAGTAGAATTGTTTGGTCATAATGCAAAGAGCCACATTTAGCAATAATCAACACCTCATACGACTGTCGGCACAGTGGTGGAGGGGTGATGATTTGAGTTTGCTTTCCACCCACAGGAACCGGGCATCTTGCAGTCAGTGAGTCCACCACTAACTCTTTTTATACCGATGTATTCTAGAGTCAAATGTGAGGTCGTCTGTCTGACAGCTAAAGTTTGGCTGAAATTGAATCTTGCAACACGACAATGATCCCAAGCACAGCAGCAAATCTACAACAGATCAGCTGAATAAGAAAAAATATCAATGTGCTGCAGTGGTCCAGTCCAAGTCCAACCTTAAGAGAGTTGTGCATATACCAGTATATAACCACAGCGATGTGATGCACTGATGAAGTCATAGACAAAAGAATTACTTCAATGGCATTAAGTAATATGTCATGTGTTGTTGTTCATCTAAAGTTGCATTTAACTCATTTTTAGACCTTTTCTATGGATTAGATGAGTTTTTAAAATTGACAGAGGGTGTTTCTTTGTATCATGTCAGCACGTGACTTATCCTTTGTTACTTCTATAACTCAGTTTAAGTAGTTGACACAAATCAAATACACAAATGACTCTAACTAGGAATGTAAAAATTGTTTGCTTTCTACAACATGTTATACTTTAAGTCAACGGAAGTGGAGGAAGAAAATAAATTGAGGAACTGAAATCATATTAATAGTCAAGTTACTGAGCCCTGGTTGTACTTTTAGTCACAGTAAAGTTAGCTACATAATTTGAAACTCATTTAAAAGCAATATATTTGCAACCCGTCTTCATGAAGATTCAGCATCTTCATTATCAGATCTGAAAAGGCCAAATATTAAAGAAGTGGAGCTATTGTAAACAGAGTACTACTTACTTCTCTCTGCAATAGCAGCAGCTCTGAGGAGAGAATGACAAATTAGGTCAAAGTTGAGAATGACAAGTGACATTCTTTACATCATTTTTCCTTATATGAGAAAAGCTTTGCTGGGACTGTGGCTACATACAGAAAAGAAATGTTAGTTATAGGCTGGTTAATGACTTACTTGAGTCTCTGGAATTCTGCAAAAGCATCATCAAATGCTGTAAAACAAAAGTTGTAAGAATCAGTTTTACAGGCCAAGACACATCTTTGTGTCGCACAGCATACAATAACTGCAAAACATCACGTTAAAGAAATCTAACTGATAACTGAGGTGATAATTCCTACAAAAGAAAATCAAACTTTTCACATCATGTAAACATGTTGGAAGCTGGCAAGATGAAAAAAGTTTAAGATGTGAAATCAGCCCAGTTATAAAGTCACTTAGACACTCACCTTGACCAGAGAGGTCAACGGTCCTCCTGAGGCCACCTTTTCCATCGTAGAACTCGATGGCATATTTGCCCATGTCTTTCTCTGTGGGCTCTGTGATCTGAAGCCACAGCTGCTCCCCGACCACGCCGCTCTTTATGCGGTCAGAAAAGGCAATTGCTGAATCCCTGTCAGAGAGACGATATGAAAAACGTATATGTTAAAGGCCACTTTGTGACACAAAAGCACAGAAGCGTCTGATAAGATGAACACGTGGTTTAATCCTGACAACTCACAACTGAAAATTAAATATACATCAGGTATAGATTTGATTAAAAGTTGCTTGTTTTGTTCATGTCAACCAACCAAAAACCTACTTGTAGTGCCATGTGACTTGGAGCAAGTCATTATAGTAGCTGACAAAGGTGTAGAGTCTAATGCCCTCATCTGTGCTTGTGATCTTCAGTGGAGTGGAGGAATTGGCTGCAAAGATAAACATCCTTATTTAATGTGTGTTGGGTTAAATATGTACTACATATGACATCATCTGTGGACTAAATATTTCTTCTTACCGATAACACTGAAAACTTCATTCATCAAGTCTTTGAAACCTTAAAAAAAGACACATTTTATCACCCTAAGTGGTTCATTTGCTGCATTTGTTTCTGATTTCATTGTTGTATTGCCGTACAAAGTTACCTTGGTCTGTCAGATTCAGTGTGGAGGTGTCCTGTCCTCTGTCATCCTTCAGAATCACCTCATACACACCAGCATCCTTCTTGGAAATCTGACAGCAAAAATGCAACAGCAAATTAGCTCAGGAAGGTTTTGCAAAAGGAAATTAAGCGTATTCGTCTGAAAAAGGCAAGCGCTTCTCTTCAGCTAGGGGCGCTGCAGTGCACACGTATATGACGCAAAAGCAAAAATAAGAGGCGAACAACAGCTACGAAAAAAAAAAGAAAAGCATTCTCAGGCAAAAACGGGAAAACCAGAGGTGGCCGTTGGCCCACGGTCACAACAGATAACTGATCCCAACTTTAAGTCTTCTCCAGATCGGGCTGTCGACAATGTCTGCTGTGTCTGCGGGGAGGTCGCGCTGCAATGGGACACATGTGACATCATGTTTATATGCTGAATTACCTGTGAGGAAAGCATGTCATAATTGGACAGACGTTTACAGACAATACGACACGATGGGATGTGAGGGGTTCGTGAGTTATACAGTAGATAAGGGACAGAGATGGGTTAGATGAAAAGAGAAGACAGAGATTGTGACAGAGCAGTTCAAATGTCTGGCTTGTTTCCTGTTTTATTTTGAAAATATTTATTTTCTCTTGACTTTTTTTCACCTGTGCCCAGTCAGCCCTCCATGTATATAGTACATATTCCTGTCTCTGTTGGAAGGTAAGGACAGAAAGATCCACACAGAGGGAAACAGAGCAGCACATTTACAGCCATATATGCAAATGAATTCAAAGGTGGTTATACAGTACAGAAATATACACACATATATACGGATATTCACACTTCACTTTCTCACACTCTCACCTGAGCAATTTCCAGTTTCAGCACTCCCTCTGCAAAGCCGAGGTGCTCGTCCACTTTGATCTGGTGTCTGTCTTTGTGCCACAGTGCAGAGGTCTCCTTCTTCATGTTGCCCACCTGAATTCCAGCACAGCAGGATGATGTTTTTAGAGCTCAGTTACATTAAAAAAGAAAAAATGTACAAGTAAAATCTCTAAAACACAGGCTCACCTTGCATTTGAGTACAACGCAGCATTCTGGTGTCACTTCCCAACTCAAGTACTCGATAAAGTGAGGGCCTGGAACAAACGCCGCAGGTAAAATGATGACAATCGGGCAAATAATGAAAACTCAATTCTGTGAAAATTTTTCATAGAGCTGTTAATCTGATTAATGAATCTTCATCACTTTTAAGCAAAAATTCCAAATTTGCTGGTTTCAGCATCTTCTGTGCGAGTTACTGTCAGCTTTTATATTTTTTGTTCTGTTTTAAATGTTGAAGAAAAAGATTAAGCCTCTGAGAATAACACAGATCCATCAGTCATTAAAATACTCTTGTGCTCAGGCGCTTACCTTGTTTTCGGAAATACTCCTTTCTCTGGAACTCTGATTCCTTCTGCAGCTGCTTGAACACTGAAAAATACACGAATGACAGTTTTCATAAATTGTGGTTTAAAACAACACAGATACCATTAAGTGCAATTAAATGAAATTAGAATTCAGCTGGAGCTATTACATCATGATTTCTAAAATGTTTCAGTGCCCTCTAGTGTTCATATGTTGCAGATGTTGAGTTCTCACCAGACACTTTATGAGCTAAACCTGTTAAACTGCTCGATCAAAATATCAAATAATTGCAGCAAATCAATGTATTTAGGCATGCAGACATGGTTAAGAAAAACTCTTGTTCAAATCAAGCATCAGAATGGAAAAGAATGATTTAAGTGACTTTGAATGTGTGCCTCAGTATTTTCAGAAACTGGTGGGATTTTACCCAAACAACCATCTCTAGGATGTGAGATAATGCCGCTTTGATCTTAGAGGTCGGAAGAGAAAAGCCACCCTGCAGCTCAGGAAGTAGAGCAGGTCATCTGCTAATCAGAAGATTGTGTGTTTGATCCCTGGCTCATCTTCTGAACCTTGAGTTGCTCTCCGACGCATTTATTGGAGTGTGAATGTTAATTAGAAAACACTAGAAAAAAGTGCTTGCCTCAATGGACGAATAAGTATGTTATATAAATGTTTTTATATAGCACTTTTAATCCTCAACTATAATAGAAAAGCACAATATAAGTCCTTTTACCAATAACTATTTGTTATGACCAAGGTACGCAAAAGAGCATCTCAGAACACACAACACGTCCAGTCTAGAAGCAGATGGGCTACAGTAGAAGACGTGCCACTCCTCTCTGCTAAGAACAAGAAGCTAAGGCTACAGTTTGCACGGCCTCACCAAATCTGGACAACAGAAGATTGGAAAAACACTGTTGGAATGTTATGTATCAATTTCGGGTGCAACATTCTGATGGTAGGGTCAGAATTTGGCAAGTGCTTCCTACTAAAAGCCACTTTAAACATATTTAAGTGATCATGCCAATGAGAAACATGAAGAGGACTAATTGGGATTCAATATCTGGCCAGTCGCAGACAGACTGGAAGGAGCAGGTATCAAACCATCTACCACCTGAGCCATAATGGCCTCTGGTACAGTCTGCTTTACTGCTGAAGGTAAAATCGTTTTGGTTGTTTCACATGAGAGATATTATTTAATTTAATTTGTGGGGTTGCCACTTTCTATCAAACCTAATCAAAATATACCCAGCGTGGCAGAGTGTTAAATTATTTTATATGGATAACGTTCTGAGCTTTTTATCCTTGACTGTACACGTTCATTCACAATTAAAAGTCACATTTTCTTTTTTCTTTTTTTTTAAATAAACATACCATCCCCTATCAGTACCAAGCTGGACTGGTTGGTAGCTTTTCCATCCTGCAGCTGGAAGGTGTACGTGCCCTCATCCGCCGGGGTCAGAGACTCCATGGTCATCTCAATCACACCGGTGTTCTTGTCAAAGTTCATCTTATATTTCTACCACCCCAAATAAAGCAGCAAATTTTTTACTTTAAAACACAGGTAGAGCACACAAGTAAAATATCTGAACGCAGATTCTCACTGACCTCCCCCTGAGAGACAACATTATCATTGAAAACATAATCGACTTTGCCGTTATTGGACATCTTCTCCGCCTGCAGCCAAAAGCGAACGCGGCCCTTTTCCAGCAGCTCCACAGCTAGATCTGACTTCAGAGGAATAACTGGTGTAAAGAAAGTGATGAAGAAATAGTTAGAAAGTCCGTCCAGTTCATGACAAACCACTAAATAAAGCAGAAATACCATATGAAGCACTCACTGGGGAACTTGTGGTCATGACTGATCTCCAGCAGCCTCTTTAACTCTGAAAAGAAAACAAGAAGAGATTCAGGATTCAAGATGAGAAAAGCAACACGTGTAATATGAAAAATCTTATTTTCTCTCAATTTTCAAACCCACCTTCCTCAGAGAGAGTGTAGCTGGATGAAGCACCGTCAGTGTGAGTGACAAGACATGAGTAAACTCCAATGTCCTCCTCCCCGGGACGATTGAAAACAACTTTAGACCTGCACAGGAAACACAGCATTCGTGACATGAGAGGTGAGAGGGACGCTCAAATAGTCTTAATGTTAAAAATGTTGCCATCTCACTTGGTTCCCTTGGTCTCTGTGGTCAGGCGGGAGGTGTCTGTGAAGTCCTCGTAGTTTTTGGACCACACAAACTTGGAGTCGGGGGTCATGTTGCCACATTCAAAGTTCAGGGAGATGACACCGTCGTCGTCGACATCTACGACTATCTCTTTCGTGCCTAAAAAAACAAGAAGGTAAAAATCTCATCTGCTCAAATTTTGTAGTGTCACCTTCACTTGTTCCATCATTTCATCCCACCTGGTTTGGTCAGAGCGGGAACCGGCTCTGTCACGTCTGAGACTTTTCCTACTCCAGCTTTATTCTGAGCACGCACACGGAACACATACTTCTCTCCCTCCTTAAGATCCTTAATCTGCAAAAAAAAGAAAGAAAGCAATGTTGAAATATATTTGTGATATCCTGCTAAAACTTGGGAATCTCTCAGATAAATGCACTCCTGATTAGCACCTTTGTATATGTCTTTTCTAAGGCTTTGGTGTTGACTCCTCTCCACGCCTCCTCTGGTGCATCTGCTTCCTTGATGTCAACATAGAACCCGTTGACAGGATCGCGGCCCTGGTACACAGGTGGTTTCCATAGCAATACCAGAGAGTCGTTCCGCGCCTCTCTAATCTGCAGATCATGTGGAGGTCCTGCAGCCCAGAAAGATGACTGAGGCTAAATAACAAATCCTGTTTACTCAGTCACTTTCAAGGTTCTGTAAATCCCTAAAGTGATACTGTTGTCAGAAACCGTGTCTATAACATGTAAATATTCAGTTCACAATTCTAATAGAATAGAATAGAATAGAATAGAATAGCACTTTATCGTAATTATACATGTACAACAAAATTGTGGGTACAGCAGGAATAAATGGCAAACAGGAGAAATATGTACAATTCATGGATGATGAACATTTGTTTTGGTATTTTTTCTTATATTTATAACATAAAGTGACTTTCTTCAACATTAAAAGTAACCAAATTATCTAATAATTCATTTTTTTTGTATCATTTACCATATTTCTCTGATATAGTTGTATTTATGTGCAACATCGGTGACAGAAAAATAAAGCAGTGTGCATTGGAAGGTTTTTTGTTTGTTTGTTGTTGTTCATCAAATGGTTCATTAAAATATTCTCTCAGTTGGTGAAACATGTGGCCCAACCAACCTGGGACAGCAATGGTCCATTCTTCACACAGGAAGGTATTACTGGGCAGCGACGGGATGCCGACACCAGCCATGTTGGCTGCTCGCACCTGAAACTGGTACTTCTTATTCTCCTTCAGATCGGACACCTGGAAACGAAGACACAAAGACACTCGCCCCTTGCACATTCAGCACATATAACTTCAGGCTCGGATGGTGTTTTTTCATATCAACCCACCCTGTAGGCCCGCTCGCTGACAGCCTTGATGTTGGCCTCGTGCCACTTTCCCGGCACGCCATCGATGACCTCACGGTAATCCACAAAATAACCGGTGATGTCAGCGCCTCCGATGAAAGTTGGCTGCTTCCAGGCCAGCACCATGGAGTCGCGCACGCACTCCAGGATAGTGATGCCATAGGGTGGAGCGGGAGAGGCTGAGACGCAAATCGCAAATTAATACGGCAAAACCTCGGCGTGAAAACTGACGTAATGGGAAACTGAAGCGCCACAAAAGATTTGATACTTTTTAATTCCCACACCTCTTTTTTCCCTGTGAAGAGCTTCAGTGTCCCATTATTGGAAACAGTTTACAGCAGGAACTCACCAGCAGTTACTCTCCTTACAAAGTTAAAGATTACTGGATAGTGGGTTCAGAGACAGTTGTAGGTTAATACCTGCTGTAACAACATCTCGTCCAACCCAACACATTTGTAACCTTAATGCTCAGTGACATTGAGATTTTGGGAGTTAATTGTTATGTCTGCACTCTAACTATGAAGTCAGCAGCCGTAAGATTATTAAATTATTTTTCTCTAGTTCCAGATTCAAAAGATAAATAAAGATTAGTATAATTTAGAAACCACTGTTTTATACACTGAGTCAGAAAGTGTGCAGTTACATGTTGCTTGTTACACTGTATTCCTGGTAACAAAGGGCACAGCGATTTCAGAGACCAGGTTAAAGGAATGACTGGGAGCCAAAGGTCTCCACAAAAGCAGGATCAAGTAACACTGTGATAATAAAGCAGCCTGTCGAGTACAAATAGTCACATGAACTTTATACCCTCTCCTGATTAGGAGTGAGAAGGTGGTCAAAGCGTCTGGGAGGTGGGTGTCTGATTAAGTCCAGAGTGCACTCCCAAAAAGGTCTCAGGTCACAAGTGTTCTCTTGGTTGGATGACCCACTTTTCGAGTACAGGGTGTGATTAAGGGGCTCCTGCCATGAATTGCTTTGGTGTCTTTGTGTGTTAAAGTGCTCTGGGTAATCAGAGGAGTGGCAGGTCCTGAGGTGATTGACACTACACATATAAGTTAGGGTTTTGGTGGCGGCCAGAAAGCATGAGTTAAACCCAGGTTTGGCGGTGAATTGGATTGACTTACCTTCAAAAAGAGCCAAGTTACTATTTGTACCTACAAAACTGATGTGAAGTCAAGGCAGAATATATTTTTATGGCTCTTAAGTGGGTAAAAACTGTACTTTTCTTTGTGGTTTTATTTGGATTTGACAAAAGGTTTTCCTCGGTGCTCACCTGCTGACTCTCTCTGGGGCTTCGCTTTCTCCCGATTACCATCTACTGAGAACTTACGTGCCTGCGAGGCGTCAGGCTCATCAGCTGTCTCCACAGCCTGACCATGAGCCTCAGCAGTTACTGGGTCACAGTGTGCAGCTGTGATTGTGTCAGTATGTGATTCAGAAATTGGGCCTGACACAGGCTCTGAGTGCATGTCTTTTGCCAGCTCAGGGGCCCGGAACCCATCACCTCTCTTGCCCCACTTGTTTTTAGTCTCCCTGGGGTCAGGGTCTGTGAGGTCTGAGCTAGCAGCCCTGGCCCCTTCCCTGGCTTCACTGTCAGCTTGAGCTTTATTGCGCTTTTGCATAGTGTTGGGAGGGAACTGGACAGTGTCATGCGTTCCCGTCCAGCGTGGCCTGTGCTCAGTTAGTTGTCCCACGTTACCCCCCGGCCCCATCTTCGGCAACACACCGTGTAGGATGCCGCCCCCTACGGGTGTTAGCAGAGAAAAGCAGAAGAAGCTTTTTTAAAAACAGGCACAAATCCATCCACAGCTCATTTCTCAATCGCACCACATTAAGAGAACAGAATAAGAAGAAACAAGCACAAAAACATTAAAAAGCAATATTTGCTGAACTGGCAGTCAAATACAGAACAATGTCTTCATCTGACTGGGAGTGGAAATGAAGACAAGATGACCAGCAGGTGACATCCATGTTAGCAGGCTTCAATTGGGATTATGAGAGCACGCAGGCACGTAACACAGAACAGCCGGCCAATAATGTGGGTGCGCGGCTTTGCTCTGGCCCTTAATGAAAAAACTCATGACTTTAGAAACAATGCCAACAGATTCCATCATCTCTTAGATTACAGCTCCAAAAGTGACGCAAGTTGTATATCGAGACCAAATGTAACAGCACACCATGATCTAATTCACGGGTGGTAGTGCTGTGTTTTAATTACTCCGAGTTTTCCTTCAGTTGCAAGTGAACTCAAAGGTTATTTCAGTGTTTTGGTGGCACATTGTAAAATTCCAGTACCAAAAAATGTAAATTAAAAGCAGAATGCAATGATTTACAAATCCCATAAATTTGTATTTTATACACAGTAGATCATAGTCTTCCTTCTCTCACCCCAACCAGTCGCAGCAGATGCCCCTCCCTGAGCCTGGTTCTGCTGGAGGTTTCTTCCTGTTAAAAGGAAGTTTTTCCTTCCCACTGTCCCAAAGTACTTGCTCATAGGGGATCATATGATTGTTGGGTTTTTCTCTGTATGCATTATTGCAGCGTCTACCACCTTGAGGTAACTGTTGTTGTGATTTGGCGCTATAAAAATAAAACTGAATTGAATTGAACTGAATTGAATGTCAAGTGTTTAAACTGAGAAAAAGTGCCTTTTTAAGGAGAAATAAGGTCAATTTGAATTTGATTGTTGCAACACATCTCAAAAAATTGGAACAGGGCCGTGCTGTCCCATTCTTGTCTGATAAAGAACACTAGCTGATCAACAGTCCAGTAACTCATCTAGCAAATTTATTGGTTTTTTAATCCGCACAACAATTTTCAGCTGTGTTAATATAATTGGAATCAGGTTTTTCTAATGATGAATCAGCCTTGAAGACTGTGTTGAAGTAACAAATTATTCCAGCAGAAAAGGATGTGTCATCAACAACACATCTTTCTTCTTAAAATATATGTGCACTGGCATTCTTGTTAAGAGTGTTTCACAAGGGATAACGAAGCATGCTGCTCAGCGCAAAGCCAGCCAGTGAATGAGTGACATCCAAAGGCTGAAAGTTGTGTTAGTATTAATGCAGAGAGATGTTACTGTTAGGGAACACGTGCAGGAATTTAGAAACAGCATCATTATTAAAACAGTAACACTGTTTCTGTTGCTGGCATGCAAAGTACATGTTAGGACTAGGTAACAAATCGTGCAGTTTATTGACTTTGAGTTGAATGAAATAATGTAAAAATATTGAGTTACAAAGAATCAGACCAACGGAACAATAACATTGCTAGCTGATAACAGGGGGGGTTCGAATGGTGGTACCTTTAGCTCTAATGTGGGGTTGCCGACACATCCTGTGCCCGAGATAGGATAGGGGAGATGCGGGGAGGTGGTGGTGATAGTGGTGATGTGTGACACTGAGCTACTTTGTAACGACCGCTGAATTGGATCGCACTGACCCAAATTAGAGGAAGTCTACAAGTCCTGACCCCCAGCCCCGCCTCAGGCTGTGCAGGGAGGAGGAGGCGCTAGAGGAGATGTGGCCAGACAGGGTAGGAGGTAGGTAGAGCATACGACAATGCAGAATAATGTGACAGGGTGACAGAGTGGAACAATGGTGGAGAAAGTGTGGGAGCTGAAGACATGTTTCAAGAGAACAGTAGTCTACAACACAATTCATGGTAAAATATCAAGAAAAATCAGCTTGTTGCATTATTTCTTCCACATAGAGAGTCTGCTAATGATAGCAGTGATCAGTCTGTGGTGTTCAGTGCGTCCAAGAGGTGTGCCTTGTTGAAATTTCCAACACAACTGGCTCAGAAATGCACAATATAACACCAACAGTTTAGTTTTTTTAACATCTCTAAACAAATCTTAATCTAAATAGCAGTAAACTGGAATTATTAACGTCCTCTGATTACTACATTACTTTGTTGTATTTAGATGTGATGGATCCACTGTACTCACCAATAGCAGCCTTCACCTCCACAGCCTCTGACTCCTGGGAGAACTGGCTGATCCCTGCAGCGTTCACCGCCCTCACCCTGAACACGTACTTCTCTCCTGTGATCAGACCGTGGCAGATGAACCTGTAAATGCAGAAAGTGCAGCAGCCATGAATTTGTATCAGAAATCGCTGAAAGAAAGCAAGAGGGGTCATTTTTACCTGGTGACATTCACGGGCTTGTTGTTGCAGGGCTCCCACACGTTGCTCCCCACAATGCTGCCCTCGATGTAGTATCCCACTAACTCTTTGGCATCGCAAGACGCTTCCCAGGACACAACAACTGATGTGTCCGTGTTTCTGGTGGGAATAACCTTTCCTGGGGCAGATGGGATATCTGCACACAAGAATAGTTACATTTTGGGGCTGAGTCAGTGCTAACATAATATATTTGTACCGTGCAAATGTTCAGTTTCATCAGATCTGTGATGCAGGAGTCATGACTGCAAAACAGGTCTGGGACCAGTTTGCCTGATAGCATTGTATGACAAATAAGACTCTTAATATCTAAAAGAGCTAATCTTCTCTATGTTTATGTTTATCTCTCTTCTGACCAAGCTTGTCTCCAACTGTGGTGGCCTCAGTCGGGTCAGATGGCTCGCCAACACCGGCAGAATTGCAGCAGCGCACACGGAAGCGGTAGGCTTTTCCCTCTGCGAGATCAAACAGCGCAAAGCGAGGAGACTTTACTGGGATCTCCGTGTTCACCCTCTGCCAGCTGTCTGTACCGGAAACACACTGATGGGCAAAGAGGAAAACGTCACACTGTCACTGAAACTCAGGCAATGTAACAATCTCATATGCAGGAAAACAGAAACGTTTAGTTAAAGTGCATCTGAGGAAAAGTGGAGGAATAATTTACCTTTTCCACATAGTACATGACACCCTCAAGCCCTTTCTCTCCGGGTGGCTTCCAGCTCAGCACCACATAGTTTTTGGTTGCCTCTGTCACCTGCAGATCACAGGGTTTGCTGGGAACAATGCCCTCTGATGGTCAAAAGGGAAAGAGTTAAGTCTCCAAAAAAGAAAGATTGACCCTTCAACACCAGATGGATGTATTAAGATCACATCCACCACTTATTGGAAAATGCATCTATTCAAGAAATGTTATCATTCCTTTCTTCTTTATTATTTTTTAATAATTACATTGATAATAAATAGAGCATAAATGAAAAAGCACAGGTGCTTCTTCTTCCCTGAATGTGGTTAATAAGCCTGAATCAGGTGGACTCAGAGTTGGAGAATTTTATAATCCCCTTCTACTTGAGTTACTCTCTGATATAAATCATCATGCAAAAGCATTTGACCTCCTACCTGCAGGCTCCTCCTCCGTGACAATGATTTGGCCAGTCCAGGGAGCAGAAGTACCTGCGAACATGTAGTAGATCAGTACAGACACATTGTCAGTCCTGCAATTTTCTGTGAGCTAAATGTTTTCTATATTTTGCTCCAGTGCCAAAACTAATGCCCAAACTACATCTTTTATTCTTCAAAATCCCTAAATATGTTTAAGAGTGTTTGTGCATCGGATGCTTTGATTCACGATACAGTCAAATTCCTCTCTGTGTCAACTACCTCTCATGCGGGCGCGGTCAGCTGGGTCCATTGCAGCCACCGGCTCCGAGACTCTGGATGGGCGGCTTATGCCACTTTTGTTTACAGCGCGCACACGGAAGATATAAGAGCGCCCCTCGACCAAACCAGTGACGGGGAATCGGGCAAACTTCACCGGGGTGTCATTGCACTGAATCCAGTGAGTGGTTCCGACCTCACACCTGTGCGTAAACGTTAAAATATTAGTATGTCACATTCAGACTTTTGATTTTATTTCAAACACCTAAAGACTACTTGTTAGTCATGTTATCACCAATATTGTGTTGCCTTATTCCTCTGACATTCATTTGAGAAAGACTTTTATGTTTTGCATTGATAGCTCATTCTGTGGTGTCTATCCAGTTTAGCTTTGGAGGTTAGAGTAGCAGGAAGCGACACATTGACCAACCTGTCCACAAAGTAGCCCAGAATGGAGCTGCCACCATCAACAGCTGGCTGCTTCCATGCAACAATGATATAATCCTTGTTGGCATCCAAACAGCGCACATCCAGAGGGGCTGCAGGAGCTCCTTCGACCTCAGCATCAGCATCTAACAGATACAAGAAGAATATCATCAGGACAGTATGAGCGCGCTCTCTGAACGTGCACGTTCTATTGTTTTATTCAGCTTTAGCTCAGCTTTATTTCTGCAATAAATTGACAGGATGTTTGATTTATAGCGAGTGGACCATGTGGGTGAACTTTGCAGCTGCAGGGTTCAATGCCAGGAATATTTCAGGTCAAGCAGGAGGACAGAATTAGCACAAGCCTGCGCTGAAGGGAAAAGGGATAAAAGAGGTGACTTTTAAATAAAGCAAACATGCCTGTCATCTGTAGGTAAAGTCAGGACACTAAGGAAAGAGACAAAGGTTTTAGAATAGAGAGACAGATTTATTTTAAACTGGATATGTGGGGGAATAACGTCTGGAATTTACATCCTCGTATATTGTAAAATTAAATATTCACTTTGTGTTTGTTTTTTATTTTGGTTGTTCATTGGCTCACACAGCTATCCAGAGAGCACTGAAATGAATCTGTTGTTCCTCCTTAAAGCAGATATTTACTAGGGGTGCAACGATACACAAAATTCACGGTTCGGTTCAATACTTTGTTGTCACGGTTCGATATTTTTTTGATACAAAAAAAATGTTCATGCCTTTTTAATTTGTCATTTATTAAAATTATAAATATATATTTTAACTCAAAAGTACAGTTTTTAAATGTAATGT